AGTTTTCTTTTAGAATCTTTATAATAAAAATGCTTTGAGGCTGAGGGTGAATTTATATGTTCCTAAAGAGACAAAAAATGTTCTTGGGACATAGTAAATGTTATTTAAATCTTAGATGTTTTTATTAGTATAATTTTTGGGTAGAAACTTGGCATTAAAAAATACATACAGAGCTTTTTCTAAGTCATACAGGGCAAGACAGCATTTTGTCATGGCAATTAGTAAATAGACTCAGATAATTATAAAACATCTAATTTTAAAAATTTGTTACAGAAACGGTACAGGTACATTGTGGCAAAAATAGAAAATACAAAACAAGCAAATATGAGAAAAATATACATGCCGCCACCTACATATTACTTTCAGTACTTTAGTTTATAATCATTTGTCTACATATGTCTATATGGATATATATATGTATTCTTTTATCCAAATGGTATTACATTGTACATTCTGTTTTGAAACCTGCCTTTTTTAGTCATTTACATCTACTTTTCCATTTCAGTAACTTTTCATCTTATGTAATGCCCGGATCACATTAAAATTTTTCCAATTAGCTCAAAAATTCCTTTATGGCTGGTTTGGCTAAAACAGTATCCAGGTCAGCATTGCACCTATGAAATTGGCTGTTAGGAACCTTGTATCTTTAAAAATTAAGGGCAGCAACCCATCCTCCAGCTTCCCCCACCTCTCACCTACCTCCTACCCTTTTTTTTTTTTTCTTAAAGATACTGGCTTGTTGAAGAGAGAATGGGTCATGTCCTACCAATTTTCTGAATTTGTCCAGTTTGCTGTCTCATAGTGTCATTTAGCTTGTTTATCCTATGTATTTCCTATAAATTAAAATTTATATCTGAATCCTTGGTGGATTTGAGTTGAAGATCCTTAACTATCAAAGATGATACTATGCCTTTGTATTGCATATCAGAAGTTACATGATCTTTACTTGATTCATGATGAGGAGATGGCCACTGAAATTGGACCATGACAGTCTTTTCTGCCCATTGTTCAATTATATTTATCTCTTGACATTAGAAAGTATTTTGGGTAGTAGTATTTTGGCGTTGTAGGAAAGTTCATTTTCTCATCAACCACTCACCTATTGGTTTAACACCATTTGTTGATCTTTGAGTATATCGGTAATTTCATTAGGGTTTGCAAAATAAGACTTTAAATTCTATTCTTTTACAATATTAATTGATGTTTTTTGGTAAGATAGAACTTGTGAAATGGGACTATTTAGTTGTCTTTAAATACAGTCTCTATAGGAAAGACAAAATACTTAAATCTTTCTCTTTACCATTTTTCAAAGTGAAGAACTATTCCATTAACCACCTCAAAAGGTGATAAATGAAAAGGGCGTTTTTAGTTGTTTTAACTTTTTTTTTGAGATAGGGTCTTATTCTGTTGCCCAGGCTGGAGTGCAGTGGTGCAATCATGGTACACCAAAGCCTCAATCTCCCTGGGCTCAGGTGATTCTCCCACCTCAGCCTGGGACTAAAGGTGTACACCACCACAGCCAGACAATTTTTTTTGTTTTGTTTTTGTTTTTGTTTTGTAGAGATGGGGTTTTGCCATATTGCCCAGGCTGGTCTCAAACTCCTGAGCTGAAGGAATCCACCCACTTCAGCCTCCCAAAGTGCTAGGATTATTGATGTGACCCACAATATCTGGCCTTAACTTTTTTCTTTTGAGTGTCTTTATAGACTCAAGGACTTTTATTTAATTCAGGATGTTTTAATATACTACCATTTAAATGTTTTATTTGATGCTCAGATTGTCACAGCTAGTCATTTGGATCTTTATACCACCTCCTATGTCCATTTGATATAGGCTGTTAATCTCTGTAAGCCTTCCTTGTTCTCTTGGAATGAAAAAGTATCCCAGACTCACCTGTACCTTCCCTACTCCAGAGCTGGCATTAATTCTTTTTCCAAGGAGTTTGGTACCTTTTAGTTCATTATAATATTAGAGATGAAAATCTGTGTTCTAGGAATATTTATTACTGCTATAGTGATACTGCTTTTAGGCCATTTCAGAGAAAAGACCTAGAAAACAGATTTTCACAGACATGAATTCATACTGCTATTTTTAGTATTTTACATGATTTCTTGATTTTACAATATTATCTCTGTTTTCTTACACTTATTATTATGAACCTTAAAGTCATTAGCATAACTTCTTTGCTTATTTCTACAATATAAAGAAAATAGTCCTGGTGCGGTGGCTCACGCTGTAATCCCAGCACTTTGGGAGGTTGAGGCAGGTGGATTCCTTGAGCTCTGGAGTTCAAGACCAACCTGGGCAGCACGATGAAACCTTGTCTTTACAAAAAATTAGCTGGGCATTGTGGCATGTGGTTGTATTCCCAGCTACTCAGGAGGCTGAGGTGGGAGGATCACCTGAGCCCAGGAGGTCAAGGCTCTAGTGAGCCATGATCATGCCACCACACTCTAGCCTGGGTGACAAAGGGAGACCCTGTTTCAGGGGAAGAAAAAAAAAAGATAAAATAGTTTGAGGAGGCTTTATGTAGTGGCTCATGCATGTAATCCTGGCACTTTGGGAGGTCGAGGTGGGAGGATGGCTTGAGCCCAGGAGTTTGAGACCAGCCTGTGCCACATCATGAGACCTGGACTCTATTTAAAAAAAAAAAAGAAAAGAAAAGGAAATAGTTTGAGGATATCAATAATGATATTACTGGAATCGGTAAAACTACCAAAAGAAATGTAAAGTTTCTTCCTAGTTTTTATTTTGTTTAGAATAGTTCCTATCAAGAAGTGTAGTAAAGTGCAGTGTCCAAATAGCCCTTGTAACAAAACCTTTCTCTTTCTCCTGAGTGCCAATTTGACATTTAATCAGTTTTGTTTTTAGCAATGTTCAATGTATGAGATTATAAGTCTTTTTTTCTTTATATCACAGGAGTCCTGCTGCTACCTGTTCTTGCTATGCTTTTCCCCTTTTCTTCCCTTTCTCTATGAAGCATCCATTTTTATTAGTTTCTCATTTATCACTCAGGCATGCGTATGTGTATTGAGGATGTTGACATTCAAGCAAATATATGTGTTAACATTCTTTTTGCCATCCCTTATACAAAAGATATACCCTGTATACTCTATTGGGCAGTTTTTTTTCCTTAAAATATTCCGTAGATCTCTCCAGTTAGCACAGTTATCTTATAGATAGAGCATGTAGTATACATATAACCTTTTCTTAAACTATGCTATTAAAATAATAGCTTTCAGTAACTCGATAATTATTTTTGGATTGAAAATACTACTGAAATCAACTCAATAATGTGAAAGCTGCAGAAAGAAAAAGACCTAGAAAAGGGCATTGGATTAGGTCAACTTTGAATTTTATTTGGAAGATAAATGAGTCCGGAAGGGAGTTGGCAGAGATTATTGGAGTTGATCTTTTTTTTTTTTTTTTTTTTTGAGACAGAGTCTCGCTTAGTCGCCCAGGCTGGAGTGCAATGGCGCGATCTCGGCTCACTGCAAGCTCCGCCTCCCGGGTTCACGCCATTCTGCCTCAGCCTCCCGAGTAGCTGGGACTACAGGCGCCCGCCGCCTCGCCCGGCTAATTTTTTGCATTTTTAGTAGGGACGGGGTTTCACCGTGTTAGCCAGGATGGTCTCGATCTCCTGACCTCGTGATCCGCCCACCTCGGCCTCCCAAAGTGCTGGGATTACAGGCTTGAGCCACCGAGCCCGGCCTGGAGTTGATCTTAAAAGGAGGCATTAGGGAGATTATTGGCTGGGCTAGTGTGAAAGGTCTGTCAGAAAATCATGAGATTAGGTTGATGTAGCTCAAAAAATGAGAGCTATTGTGATGAGTGGGTAAGAATCATAAAAGTGTAGAGTGTTGATGATTTTTATAGTTTATAAATGGTTCTTGAGTGTAGAGGTTTGTTTTTATGCTAGCTATAGTCTGTAACATAATTGACTATAATAGGCATGCTAAATATCCATGACAGTTGACCCTTGAACAACATAAAGGATATGGGCACCTACTCCTGTGCAGTTGAAACTTCACATGTAACTTTTGCCCGCCCCCCCAAACTTAACTATTAATATTTAGCCTATAGTTGACTGGAAATCTTACCGATAATATAATGTTCATTAATACATATTTTATGTATGTGTTAGATAGCATATTTGTATAATAAGCTACAGAAAAAATATTAAAATCATAAAGAAGAGAAAATATACTTACTGTTCATTAAGTGGAAGTGGATCATCATGAGGGTCTTCATTTTCACTGCCTTCACTTTAAGTAGGCCAAGGAGTAGGAGAGAGTGGAAAGGTCAGACTTGCTGTCTCATGGGTGGCAGAGGTAGAAGAAAGTCCACATACAAGTGGTCCCACACAGCTGAAACCGGTTTTGTTCATTGGCCAACTGTAGTTTGATTGAAAGTAAGAATAATAAATAAAGTTTCTACTTCAGTTCGGTATTATCAAGTCATAGATAGCAAGAGCTGGAAGAAACCTTAGTAGTAATCTCTTTGAGTCTAATTATGTAGAATGAAATTGCGGTCTAGAAAGGTTAAGTGGCTTGTCCAAATTACACAACTAGTTAGAGACATAGCCAGCTCTTAATTCTGACTTCCAGATTTTCACTGTGTCTTTTTTCTACAACATGTTGCCTTAATTTTTAGCCATGAAAAATTGGAAGTTGAACTCTTTGTCTTTTCAGGCAGGTGCAGATTTTGGGGTTTTGTTTTGAGTTTTGGTTTTTGACCTAAAGTACTTTAGTTCTGTGATTTATAAAGCACGAATTTTCTGTTTTTCTTATATACCTGAATACTGTAAATATGGAAGTTACCTTTTATCTTTACCAGTATTACACATAAATGGTTATACATAAATACATTGACCATCTTTTATTACTCCAACTATGGTGGGGAAAGCTTTCTTTTCATAACTAGCTAATGTTTTAAAATGTATACTTTTAGTTTGATTGCTGCATATTTCAGATATTTCTTTCCTTAACTAAAGTACTCAGATATTTATCCAAACATTATTGCTATGGGATTTCCTGCAGAAAGACTTGAAGGCGTATACAGGAACAATATTGATGATGTAGTAAGGTAAGAATGCTTTGATTTTCTATTTCAAATATTGATGTTTATATTCATGTTGTATTTTCATTTAGAAAAGATTTCTAAACCACAGAAAAAGATACTTTGTGATGTAAACTTTGTTGTTGTAGTGCTCTATAATCATTTTTTGGCTTACTGTACCTAATGGACTTCAGTGGGATACAGTTCATTTGATAAGAACTGACCTTAAACATAATCAGGTACTTAGGTGATATCATTTCCTGGACTCCATAAAATGCCTGTCACCAGGTTTAATACCTGAATTCCATTACAGTGTGATTGTTGTCTTATGTCATAATTGGGGATTAGGCTTAAAATCCTAGAGTGGATTTATTCAGTTAAATTTATTCACATTAAGATGTAGATGACTAATACTGATTTTTATGTAGACCAAATTTTAAGGTACCACTGTGTATAAGTATACCAAGTACTTGAAGAAGTATTTGGTTGTTAAAAGATATATAGAAAGGAATCGCTGGGTGTACCAAGGCTAATCAGTTTTATAATTTTGCATAATTTTCTAAGTGCAATTATCATTTAGTTTAGAACAATTCTCAAGACCCACATAAATATTACTTTTAAAATATACAGTCTTAAGAATTCGTGGCATATTTTATGAAAGGAGGAATTCATGTCTGATGTACAAATAGTCTTAACATTTATATTGTCTAATTTCAGAGCAAAAATATGTATGTATGAATAAATTAACTGTAAATTGTCAGTAGGAACCTTGAGAATTCGTGGCGTAATTTATGAAAGAAGGAATTCACGTCTGATGTGCAAATACTCTTAACATATTTTTTCATTTCAGAGCAAAAACATATGTGTATTAATAAATCAACTGTAAATTGTCAGTAGGAAACTTAATGGCTTTAAAAGTTAAAATTTCAAGCCAGACATTGTGGTGTGCTCCTCAGGTCCCAGCTACTTGTGAGGCTGAGGTGGGAGGATCACTTGGCTTGAACCCCCAGGTAGAGGGTAGAGGCCAGTCTGGTTAACACAGCGAGAACTCATCTCTTAAAAAAGTTAAAATTCTGGATTATTTCCTTTACACTCTTTCATTAGTATCTTTCCTGGAGATTTTCAGTTTAAATACTTGGTGATTATGACAATTAGATGTTAAAATGGATGGGAAAGTACTTTGTAACTTATAAAGTGTTATGCAGATGTAGACTCCTTTTATAATAGTTGTGTAAGTATATGAGACAACCTACATTCTTTTATGAGCTAGCTATAAGTTTTAGCAACTTGCTTTGAACCACAGATTTACAATTTTTTATAGTATTGAGTTGTATTCATTTAGAATTTTGTAATATATTCAAAATCAAATTTTTGTACCTACAAAAACTACAAAAAAAATCCCGCTAGTTTTTATAGTTTCTATTAAAATTATAGCCAGTACATAGGGATGCCAGAAGGACTGTTTAAGAAGCTGAAAATAAAGAAATGAATTTATCTTCTCATAGTTAGGCAGGGCACAGTAGAAGGATGCTTAACATTGCAAGCTGATGGGAATAGCAGGTTGATATAGCTTGTGATAACACTTCTAAAGAAAAAGCAATGAGCCATAGAAAAAAGAGATAGATACATTTTGAATTAAGAAAGATGGTGAATCTGGGAAACAAGCAGTACAGTCACCAGACGTGTATTCTCTGCTATGATACAGAAGTGTTTATCAGGCCTCTTTATGGCCTGCATGATATATCCCACAAGATGACCTACTCACATTATTTTAATTCTGTGTTCAACTAAGCACTAATTCAACCCAGCCAGTTTAGTACTCATACCAAAAAAGAGTGAGCACTCTGAATAGAGGGCAGGTTTTCTGATTATGGTGAGAATATCTTTGTGGTAAATTAATCTGGTGTGCTAGTTTTTACATTGGTCTCTTCTGAGTGTCATTAGTCACTGAGGCTGATTGATCATCTTTTAGGTTACTGATAAAAGTTCCTGTACAGCTGATTATCAGACCTTAGGTTGCAGTAACTTCACCAAGAAAATACTTTGCTGAGAAGCATTTTGGTCCTTCTATTTGATTCATAACTCTTACCTTTATGCCTCTGAATGAAAAGATTCACATTTTCAGTTTGTAATTAGTAATCAAGGCTGAGGTTTATTCTATCTAGCTTCACGATATATCTAGTTTGTTTTGTCTAGCCATATGATTTCTTCAAATCTGCTATGTCTAAAAAAAAAAGTTTTATGTATCCAGATTAATACTTAGCCAGTGCTTCCTTAGCCAGTGGATCTTATCACCTCTTACACTATTGATAGCGTGTCAACATGAAGAATTATCTGCTGAATATAATAGCTTTGCTGTCCTTGTTTCCTTTTGTCTCATTCTTTTTTGAGAAAGCTTTGATAGCCTTCTATTGCCTAGGCCCCTCCTCTTCTTTTATGAGAGAAAGGATGAACAGTGACCAGAAATTAAGGGTTTGGTTTTTTTTTTTTCTATCAACTAAAATGGAAATAAATAATTCCTAAGTAATTTGTCTGTTAGGATTAAGGTCTCCAAGAGAATGGCTGTGCCTAGTACCTAAGTGATTAATTTCCTTGATTGGTTTACATTATATTGAGGATATTAGTAATCAGTAGTGATTCCTTTTTTGGTTCAAAGATGATAGTGTCACAGTGAAAAGTGTTTTTAAAATTTTTGTATACTTAATTTTTCTGTAACAAAAGTATTTTCAGCTGGATTTTTCTTGGCCCTCTCTATTAGAATGCCCAAAGAATATTTAAAATTATCCTTTTCTCTCTTACTGCATATTTTTTCCTGTGATTTTTCCCCAAACAGAAAATACTCTGCAGAGATTAGACTTTGTTATTGTTGTACTACATCATTGCTTTGACTAAAATAAACTTAGATTGCAAATGCTTTCAGGCTTACATTGCTCAATATATATATATATTTTTGGTAATATGAAACATTGTTTTATTCAGATAATTGATTATTCTGTAATATGTATGTTAATTTTTTTAAATTATACTTTAAGTTCTAGGGTACATGTGCACAACTTACAGGTTTGTTACCTATGTATACATGTGCCATGCTGGTTTGCTGCACCCATTAACTCATCATTTACGTTAGGTATTTCTCCCAGTGTTATCCCTTTCCCATCCCCCCACCCCACGACAGACCCCGGTTTGTGATGTTTTCCGCCCTGTGTCCAAGTGTTCTCATTGTTCAGTTCCCACCTGTGAATGAGAACATGCAGTGTTTGGTTTTCTGTCCTTGCAATAGTTTGCTCAGAATGATGGTTTCCAGCTTCATCCATGTCCCTACAAAGGACATGAAACTCATCCTTTTTTATGGCTGCATAGTATTCCATGGTGTATATGTGCCACATTTTCTTAATCTATTCTATCATTGATGGACATTTGGGTTGGTTCTTTGCTATTGTGAATAGTGCCACAGTAAACATATGTGTGCATGTGTCTTTATAGTAGCATGATTTATAATCCTTTGGGTATATACCCAGTAATGGGATGGCTGGGTCAAATGGTATTTCTAGTTCTAGATCCTTGAGGAGTCACCACACTGTCTTCCACAATGGTTGAACTAGTTTACACTCCTACCAACAGTGTAAAAGCATTCCTGTTTCTCCACATCCTCTCCAGCACCTGTTGTTGCCTGACCTTTTAATGATCACTATTCTAACTGGTGTGAGATGGTATCTCATTGTGGTTTTGATTTGCATTTCTCTGATGGCCAGTGATGGTGAGCATTTTTTCATGTGTCTGTTGGCTGCAGAAATGTCTTCTTTTGAAAAGTGTCTGTTCAAATCATTTACCCACTTTTTGATGGTGTTTGATTTTTTTCTTATAAATTTAAGTTCTTTGTAGATTCTGGATAGTAGCCCTTTTGTCAAATGGGTAGATTGCAAAAATTTTCTCCCATTCTGTAAGTTGTCTGTTCACTCTGATGGTAGTTTCTTTTGCTGTGCAGAAGCTCTTTAGTTTAATTAGATCCCATTTGTCTATTTTGGCTTTTGTTGCCATTGCTTTCGGTGTTTTAATCATGAAGTCCTTCCCCATGCCTATGTCCTGAATGGTATTGCCTAGGTTTTCCTCTAGGGTTTTTATGATTTTAGGTCTAACATTTAAGTCTTTAATCCATCTTGAATTAATTTTTGTATAAGGTTTAAGGAAAGGATCCAGTTTCAGCTTTCTACTTATGGCTAGCCAGTTTTCACAGCACCATTTATTAAATAGGGAACACTTCCCCATTTCTTGTTTTTGTCAGGTTTGTCAAAGATCAGATGGTTGTAGATGTGGTGGTATTTCTGAAGCCTCTGTTCTGTTCCATTGGTCTATATCTCTGTTTTGGTACCAGTACCATGCTGTTTTGGTTACTGTAGCCTTGTAGTATAGTTTGAAGTCAGGTAGTGTGATGCCTCCAGCTTTGTTCTTTTTGCTTAGGATTGTCTTGGCAATGCAGGCTCTTTTTTGGTTCCACATGAACTTTAAAGTAGTTTTTTTCCAATTCTATGAAGAAAGTCATTGGTAGCTTGATGGGGATGGCATTGAATCTATAAATTACCTTGGGCAGTATGGCCATTTTCACCATATTGATTCTTCCTATCCATGAGCATGGTATGTTCTTCCATTTATTTGTGTCCTTTTATTTCATTGAGGAGTGGTTTGTAGTTCTCCATGAAGAGGTCCTTCACATCCCTTGTAAGTTGGATTCCTAGGTATCTTATTCTCTTTGTAGCAATTGTGAATGGGAGTTCACTCATGATTTGGCTCTTTGTTTGTCTGTTATTGGTGTATAAGAATGTTTGTGATTTTTGCACATTGATTTTGTATCCTGAGATTTTGCTGAAGTTTTTTATCAGCTTAAGGAGATTTTGGGCTGAGACGATGGGGTTTTCTAAATATACAGTCATGTCGTCTGCAAACAGGGACAATTTGACTTCCTCTTTTCCTAATTGAATACCCTTTATTTCTTTCTCTTGCCTGATTGTCCTGGCCAGAACTTCCAACAC